CTCACCTCTAGCCTGGAGAGGCTAGCAAAGAATACTTACCCCTAACTTGGAGAGGCTAGCAAAGAATGCTCACGTCAAACCTGGAGAGGCTAGCAAGTAATACTCACTCTTAGCCTGGAGAGGCTAGGAAAGAATACTTACCTCAGGCCTAGAGAGGCTAGCAAAGAATACTCACCTTAGGCTTGGAGAGGCTAGCAAAAAGGAATACTCACCTCAAGCCTGGAGAGGCTAGTAAAGAATACTTGACAACACTCAAAAAAGGCCAGTTGAAGCCTTAATGTTAATCTAGCCTGGAGAGGTTGAGCTCAAAATATACTCATTCCTCGACAAGCTTTGAATAAAGTCTCAATCACACCATCACCGAACAAACAACCAAGGGCATAAGCATGAAACATCTACACCAATCCAGAAGATAAGATGGTACAACTACCATCCTTGTCACCCAAAAGAACATGTAACCCAACACTCAGTTGCTCTAAAAGACAAGGATATGGGTAAACCCATGCACCCGAAGGAAACGATGTGGAAGCACCTACACTGTGAAACAGAAGAGAAGACCTAGACAAAATGTCTACGTCTTTACTCGCCCTTGGAAAAGTAACACATAGCCATCCAAAGGACAAGTAAACAAAGGCATCTATAGATACCTAATTTCATTTAGGACATGCAAACAAGGAAATAGGCCTTTTGTATGAGACAAAGGAATTTTAAAAGACCTGAATGTGACGTCAAAATAGACCAACATCTGTCGTAACCCGAAAATTTTCGATCTTACGACCAATGGTGTGGACTACCTTTTTGAAAAAATCTCATTAATTAAGGAATACCCGGACTCTAGACTAATCCTCAAATAATGGTTTTGAAAAATGAGTTAATGGAATCACCACCAATGTTTTACTCAAAAAATTGGAAAAAGAAAATATTTGAAATTAAAATAGAGGTCTTCATAACCAAAATTGGGTTCGAGAGTTGATTACGTGTAGGAAAGGTATTAGGCACTCCTACAATGCCCTAAATTGGTACCTATGATGAAATTAGCATAATAATAAATAATATTTTAAATATCTTATCCCCTTTTATTATTTAATATTATTTACATGACAAAAAAAATACCTATGATCTACATGATTATTTATTGGTATATAAGAATTATAAATAAAATGATAAATAAAGAAATAAAATAATAAATAGAATAATAAATGAAATAATAAATAAAATAAGTAAAAGAATAAATAAAAGAAAAGAATTTAGAACCTCTAAAGAAAACCTTTTATAAGGGAATCTTCCCAAATGCGTGCGGGGCATGTTTTGGCAACCCTTCGCTCTACAAAAACCTCACTATCGCTCAAAGGTTTATATAGAGAGAAGGGGAGCTATGAAGCTTTTTTCTTTTTAATCCCTTGGCCAGAGGGTTTCTTATATAGCAAACTAGGAGACAAAAGCTTAAGAGAGCTATCCGGTGTGGGACTAAATTTTATAAAAATACAATCTTTTCCTAGGCACCATGAAGGATCTCTAGAGAATTCGTTAATCATCGAATCGTGCTAGATTTTTTATGGTATGCTCATAATATATTGATCTTCAATTTCAATGGTTGAATCGTTGAAATTAGGTATGTAATGAGAGATACTATCATAATAAAAACGTTGTCTGGTACATGACACATTTTCTAACTACAATGCGAGGCCTCTAATGAAATAATTAACCGTTAGATCTTCCTTTTTGTTTCAATAGTGTAGATGTCCCCACATTGTTTCCTTTGGGTAGATGGTGTTTACCTGTATTCTTGCCCCTTAGAGCAACTAAGTGTTGGGTTGTATGCTCCATTGGGTGACAAGGATGGTAAACTTGTACCATCTAGGCTTTTGGCTTGATGTAGATGCTTCTTACTACTTTTGCTTGTTCATGGTAGTGTGTTCTTTTATTTGTAGCTTTTTGAAGAGAGAGTATATTTTGAGTTCAGCCTCTCCAAGCTGGACTGATATTTGGGCCTTCAGTCGGCCTAAATGCTAGTTTGGGGTCTAGCAACCCTTATTGATCTTGTACTAGTTTTGGGGATTTAGCAACCCTTACCGATCTTGTAGTAGTTTTAGGGATCTAGCAACCCTTACCGATCTTGTATTAGTTTTGGGGATCTAGCAACCCTTACCGATCTTGTACTAGTTTTGGGGATCTAGCAACCCTTACCGATCTTGTACTAGTTTTGGGTATCTAGCAACCCATATCGATCTTATATTAGTTTTGGGGATCTAGCAACCCTTACCAATCTTGTACTAGTTTGGGGGATCCAGAAACCTTTACCAATCTTGTAGTAGTTTTGGGAATCTAACAACCCTTACCAATCTTATACTAGTTTTGGGGATCTAGCAACCCCTACCAATCTTATACTAGTTTTGGGGATCTAGCAACCTTTACCGATCTAGTACTAGTTTTGGGGATCTAGCAATCCTTACCAATCTTGTACTAGTTTTGGGAATCTAGCAACCCCTACCGATCATATATTAGTTTTGGGGATCTAGCAACCCTTACTACTCATGATATTGAATATTGTCATGTCGGCCTCTCTAGGCTGGTTGCTAATTCTTATGATTTGAATGCCTTTATTCTTTGGCAAGGATGTCTCATGAAGATGATAATTTCTGATTGGTGGTGCCCTTGTGCTAGTGGGCGGTAGATCGTCCTTTTTGCAAGATGACGTGGTGAGTATTCTTTATAGCCTCTCCAGGCGTTTTCTACTTAGGTGTTACGATTATTCCTCTATTGACGACTAATCATCGTGATGTCGGGGTGGATTTTCTTGACCCTCGTTGGGCTATCTAATCTGATCGTTGTCGTGAGGGGACCCTGCCCCTCATTTGGATCTCTGATATCCAGTAGCCTAGACGATTGTTCGTCTTTGCATGGCTTGGTTGTGATATTTTGATTTTATTTTCATAGCTCTGGCTTTTCAACATGTTTGAAGCTTGCCTTTTTATGATTTTTTTTACTAATGATGAAAATATTCATTTTCTCTGATGATGGTGCTTGTTTACTTGATGATTATTATTTTGAAGCAACTCTAGCTTTTGTCTTGTGATCCATTCATGTAGGCTTGCTTATTCCTCCTTGGTGAGTTTTGTTCTGTCTTATTATTGATGTGTCCTTTTTCTTGGTGGTTATATAAAACCACTTGTATGGAATGCCCTTGTAGAGTTAGGCTTCTAACGCCTTCTTATTGACACGTGACCTTACTTAATGGTCGAGCTTTCTGGCGCTTGCAAGTGCTTTGGCTCAAGAGTTCCCCGTGACAATAACAAACAAAACAAGGATGCAAAATGCAAAGAGAGTACAAAGTAAGAATGAATTGGTTGATCTTTTTTTGTAGTTGTTGTTGTTTCTTCTTCTTTTTTTTTTGTTTTTGTTTTTATACCCTTATGTGCATCCTTGTGCCATATGCATGTTATACAATGATGCTTCTATACTAATGCTTAAAATGCAAATCTATTTTTTACTTTCAAGAAATTAATCTATGCGCATTGATCAATGACGTGGATTATTAGCCTTTAGCTATGTCGAATTTATTGCAGGTGTTGAACCTAAGGCTTGTGTAGTTCAACCTTTCTACCTGTATCGGATATGATTTGTTAGCCCTTTCGCGACCGCCGAGGCCCGTTTGGGCCGGTGGCGACAGGGTTATAGGCCTTTTTAGTAGTTTGGGAACGGCCCGTTCTGGGTTATCAAAAATAGGGCTTTTTAGTAATTTGGAACGACCCGTTCCAGTTTGGGAACGACCTATTCTGGGCTACTAAATCACCCTTAATAAATTTTATGAAAATTACTAAATTACCTTCCATAAAAAGTATGAAAACTGAGGTGTTACAATTGTAGTATTATTGTTGATTAATTAATCAATTATAATGGAAAAAAGAATAATTTGGTCATGTTTTAATTCATAATATCTTGTAAAATGGTGATTTTCTTATTAACATTAAAAACAACAAACAATAATAAAATAAGGGTTTCAGCCTAATCATACATGCTTAAGAAATAAAAGTTAGTGAAGGTAATGCTCCCTTAGCATATTACACCATAAATAATTTAAACTAATAATGTAAATCCTATTTTTGACAAGTGTACATGCCTAGATAAAGAGCTACAATGCTTCAAATTCTTTTAAAATTTAAGTACATATAACACAATAAATATAATATATATATATATATATATATTAACTATTAGCATTATGTTAAATTATTTGCATCATATAAATTTCATCTCACAACATTACCTTCCTATTGTAATCGAAGAAATATAATTTTATTTAACTAATAAACCTTAGTATAATTGATGATAAAATAAACAAGACTCAAATAATATTATGATGAAAAACCTCTTTTATTAACTTATAGAAATTTTAACTAATCAACTTTAGTACAATTGATGACAAAAGAAACAAGACTCAAATAACATTTTGATGAAAAACCTCTTTTATTAACTTATAGAAATCATAGAAATCGTTGTAAGATGATCCTCCAACATTAGTAGCTCTTATTGCTTTTTTCTTCCACTCTAAGCCTTTTTGTCTCATTTCCATCCCCTTTTCTCCCTTCATCATTTCCTTCACAAGCTCTGCTATCTCTTCTCTCTTCACATCATGATTAATTTCCATGCCTATCCCCCAAGTTGTGTATACATACCTGCAATTTGTTTGTTGCTCAGCAAAGAAAGGCCAACAAATCATAGGTACACCCGCAGATATACTTTCAAGTGTAGAATTCCAACCACAATGGGTTAGAAAGACACCAATTGATGGATGAGAAAGCACTTGATCTTGAATGCACCAACTTGTTATGTATCCCCTACCCTTGATCTCATCAAAGAACTCTGGTGGCAAAGTTATAGATTCACCCATTACTACATCTGCCCTCATTATCCACAAGAATGGTAACTTGCTATTTGCTAGTCCCCAAGCAAATTCTTTCAAGTGATGCTCGGTCATTACTGTTACACTTCCGTAATTAACATATACGACTGAGCCAACTTCCCATTTGTCTAACCATTCTAAGCATTTTGAGTCATTCTTCCATAAACTTGACCCATTTAACTTGAAGCCCTTTTCTTTATCAGGAAAATTAGTACCAAGCAATTGAAGTGGGCCAATGTTATATATGTTTGGATTATTTGCCCTAAGGGCATCGAGGGCTTCTTCTTCCAAGTCTTGGAATGAGTTAATGATGATTGCAGATGATCTTAAACAATTTTGAGACCCAGAACCCATGAAATCAAACATAATATCATCCAAATTGGTGACTCTAATAAAGCTTGGAAGATCTTTCAATCTAATATCTTTCATTCCAGAAATCCAACTTAAACTTTTATCCAAGGTGCCATCGTTGACAAAATTCTCATCTGAAAAATTGACAAAAATAAGTTACACAAGATAAATCCATCATTTATGTACCACAAAATTTGAAATTTTACATACTCTTAATTATATAAAGATGGTTTACTTTGAAAATTATGGTACTAAAAGGAATTACTTAAAAAGATTAAAATATATTGCAATTGTTATTTTTATTGATATAGTATAATAAATAAAATATAGATAATTATTTTATTATATTTAGAAAAGATTGAAATGTGATATTTTGAAAATCAATATAATTGTTTTAAATACAAAAACACATTATTATATGATAATTTAATCTTCAGTTACGAAAAGATTAGTTTTATATATATATATACAAGTCTGCAAACATTGCTAATGTTTTACACCATTGTAAATATATAGCTCAAAAAGCACAAAATATAAATACATGCATTGCAACAAATTAAAGTTTCTAAAGTTTTTTAACGATTTAAACATATGTGTTGGGAATATGCCTAAATATATTTAGGAGATTAAGTTAATTTTTTTATAAAAATATTTTATTTATATTATAAATATTTAGATTTAATCTGTTCTGATTATTTTAGGATTTATTTTCTTATTTTAGAATAGGATAATATCAATATTTGATTTTGTATAACAAATTTTCTATAAATAGAGACTCATGAATAAAATTATATTATGTTCCTCTGATAAAAAATAACTCTTATAAAATATCCCCTCAAATAAAAATCATAAAATAACCCCATCATTGGTATCTAAAGCTAAGGTTACGATCTTGGAGATGGAAGCAGAAACAAACTTTTCATAAATTTCCCCACCTATTTTTGATGGAGAAAGTTATGATCTTTGGGTGGTGAGAATGGAGGCATACCTAGAAGGTTTAGATCTTTGGGAAGTCGTAGAAGAAGATTATGATGTTTCTGCGTTGCTAGACAATCCTACCGTAGCCCAAATGAAAATTCACAAAGAGAAGAAAATCAAGAAGGCAAAGGCAAAAAGCTGTCTCTTTGCCTGTGTTTCACAAAATGTTTTCACCAGGATTATGACTCTCAAATCGGCAAAAGAAATTTAGGATTATCTAAAGGAAGAATATGCTGGAGATGAAAGGATTCGAAGCATGCAAGTATTAAATTTAATGAGAGAATTTGAAATACAAAGAATGAAGGAGACTGAGACAATCAAAAAATACTCAGACAAATTGCTTGGCATTGCTAATAAGGTACGATTACTAGGAACGCAATTTCTTGATTCTAGAATTGTTGAAAAAATTCTAGTAACTATACCTGAAAGATATGAAGCTTCAATAGCGGCTTTGGAGAACACAAAGGATCTGAGTAAGATCACTTTGGCAGAGGTGTTACATGCATTGCAAGCATTAGAACAAAGGAGACTTATGAGAGAAGAAGGATCTATGGAGGGTGTATATTTAGCCAAATGGAAGAACAAAAAAAGTGGCAAAAACAAGAAGAGGGAATTGTTTCAAGAGAACAGTCAATATAATAACACTCAAAATTTTTCACCATGTCCTTATTGCAAAAAGACTAATCATCCACAACAGAGATGTTGGTGGACACCTGATGTAAAATGTGACAATTGCGGAAAATTAGGACACCTAAAATATGTTTTCAAATCTCATGAGCAACAAGAAGAAGCCAACATTGTTAAAGATCAACAAGAAGAGGAAGAAGAACAACTACTTTCAATGTCATGCTTTATGACTTAAAAACCCTCAAAAGCTTGGATTATTGATAGTGGTTGTACAAACCATATGACTTATGACCGAGAACTCTTCAAAGAACTCAACAAAACTGATATCTCTAAAGTCCAAACGGGGAATGAAGCACACCTTACAGTAAAAGGCAAAGGAACAGTGGTTATTAAAAATCATTCAGGTTTGAAATTAATATATGATATTTTATACATTCCTAATATTAACAAAAATTTGTTGAGTGTTTCTCAATTATTAGGAAAAGGCTATAAAGTGTTATTTGAAGATAAAAATTGTGTGATTAAAGATATACACAACAAAGAAGTGTTCAATGTTCATATGAAAGGCAAAATTTTTGCTTTAAATTTGGAGAAAGAAGAGCCAATTATAAATGAAGATACAAGTGAAGAGCACAAAGATGCATGTCTTCAAAAGAAATTTGATGATCAAGAGGAGAATGAAGATGATGAAAAATCACCTTCAAAAGAGATGTTCGAGACAAATGTTAAAGTGGTCCCACTCAAGAAGGATTACAACAAAAATCACAAAAAGAAGAAATCAATAAAAAAGAGAAAAGACAGATTTTGAAACTCAAATTAGGTGAAAAAGATATTCAGTCAATGAGGAGTGTTGGGAATATGCCTAAATATCTTTAGAAGATTAAGTTAGTTTTTTATAAGAATATTTTATTTATATTTCAAATATTTAGATTTAATATGTTCTGATTATTTTAGGATTTATTTCCTTATTTTAGAATAGGATAATATCAATATTTGATTTTGTATAACAAATTTTCTCTATAAATAGAGACTCATGAATAAAATTATATTAGGCTCCTCTGATAAAAGATAACTCTTATAAAATATCCCTTCAAACAAATATCATAAAACAACCCATCAATATGTAACTCAAAAAAGACATAATATATAATTTAGAATCATATACTATAACTTTATAAGTATAATCTTTGCGAAAATCAAATATTAAAGTCTATGTCAAACAAAAGAAAGTTTGAGACAATGAATTAGTGACTATTTCTATCCTTTTAAACATCTCTTAGTTTCATTCTCTATGAAACAAACACTACTAGATTTTAATCCTTTAGCAATATTTTCTTGCTTACATTTATTAAGATGTTACTATATATTATATAAATGTTATTTTGTAACACTTTTTTTTAAAAATGTCATTATAGATAGAGTAACATTTTTTTATTTCAATATTATTCTTTCCAATTGTTTTCAAAATCAAAGTCCTATATCGAGTAAAAAAAATTTACATAAATTATTTTGCAACATTTTTTTGAAAAATGTTACTATAATTGCTTCTAAAATCAAAGTCCCACGTCGAGTAAAAAAAAAAATATATTTATCTTATATCTAATTGTAACCCATAATTAAAGTCTCATATCGAATAGATTAATGACTCATAAAGAGTATATATACTTATAAATGAAATTTGATATTCTATATATAATTAGTGATAACTAACTAAAATTTTCTTTAATTTATTTCCCTAAAAACTTAAGGAATTCCTAGAAATTTAGGAGACATATCAATATAATAATTGATAGTAATATTTAAATTAAAATTAATTATTATTTTATAAGATTAACAAAATCTTGACAACATCATTAAAATGTTACAAAAAATTATTAAAATGTTACAAAAATACTACTTTGATAACATTTAAAAAATGTTACCTAATTATGCAAAAATGTTACTAAAAGTCTTTAGCAACATTGACTATATACAACATTTGATAATATGTTACTAAAATAAATTAACAATATTTATACATAATTAAGTAACATTTTTTAAAATTTTGTTAAATACTATTTGTAGTGAAAATTCATAAAGAAAGTCGTAGTCTAAATCTGACCAAATAGCTTAACCGGAGTTGCAATAATAGAAAAGCGCAGCTGAGTTTGACAGTGCACGCTTCACACTTGTGACTAGATCCATAAATATTGATGCATTCACTATGAGTATTGTGTTAATGTTTTTTTTTTTTTTTAATTTCTTAATCTTTTAAGTCTTGTCTTTAAGACATTATTTTCAATTTATAGAAAACCAAAATAAAATGATAGTAAATTTACAATCTAGCTGAAATATATTCAGATGGCATAATAATTAATAAAAAAAATAATGAGACTAAAAACACAATCACCACAGGATTTGATCTATCATCTGACTAATTCAACTTAACTATAATAAGATTTGCATCAGTTATGTTTATTTATTTCTTTTATCCGTATATAGATTAATTAAAATTAATCTTTATATAAATCCAGTTGGAATATTTCCTAGTAAGTACAATGAGTGAGCTCAGGTAGTTAAAAATTATATTAAAACAGTATTTCAAAATGGGATTTCCTGATTTATTTTACTTTACTTTTAATTTTTTGATCTGTTTTTTTTTTTTTTTTTT